AAAATAAATGGAATTGCATAAAAACCGAGTAAGGCCAGAATATGCATCTTTTGATTCTTCTGTTTTGTTAGCTAGGTAAGAATACACAAGTTTAGGAAATGGATGGATTATAATTACCTGTTTAAAGAGCTCCGGATCCTCTAGTTGCCAATCAACGACCAAATGCGTGACCCGATCAGCCTGGTAATGCAAGGCAACTTCACCGCCATAGGTACGAATAATGAGACGCCAGATCTGACGCTGTTCTTCCGAGTGTGAACGCTGGTAGCCAAGCAGCAAAAAGACACATCCTGTCAGGCAGTCCTCACGTGTTTGTGGCAGCGGGCTGCCTGCATGGCCGTAGTGCGCCGGTAGAAGGGATCCTGGCGGCGGAGGCTGTGGCTGCTGCTGGATTTGTGGTTGATATTGATGATGTTGGTGGGATGCGGCAGAAGGGTGATGTTGGCTTTGTTGCGAGGGCTGTTGTTGTGCCTGCTGCATCGAAGCTTGTTGCGGTTGATGGATCATCAACCCAGGACGATGTTGCTGAGTAGGATGCAGATGTGCCGCTTGCTGATGAAGTTGAGTAGTTGAATGCTTCATAATTTGTGCTGACTCATGGTGGTGCTGCTGAAAAGAATGTGGCTGCTGGTGGTAGTGATGCAGGTGGGTGTGAGAAGGATGAGATGCATGCGGATGTTGTTGGCCCACATTTTGATATAGTTGCTGCTGTGGAGTTGGCTGCTGTAGCGGATGAAGGTGACGCTGTTGAGTCTGTTGCTGTTGCTGTATTTGACTTTGAACGTGAGAATGCTGTTGTTGCGCCCCGCTTGGAGAATGTGAGTGAGTGTGAGATGCCGGTAAATGATGGCCGGTTGGGGTCAGAAGTTGTGAGTGTCCGTGTTGTTGCTGTTGCTGATGGTGTTGTGCTAGGTGATGGTGACTCGGGTGGTTAGAGTCCCCGGGTGAAACGAGACAACTGAGTCCGGGCCGTTGGGCCTGTAGAACAAGCTGTCCCGGATGCCCTGTCGAATGGGATTGTTGAGCCTGACCAGGGGGCCCAGATACCATCAGTGTTGGCCCTGAGTGCCCACTTAAAGGCAACCCACAGGCAACAACTTGTTGAGATAGGCCTAAACGAAAAAAAGAAAGGAGAATAAGATAAAAATGAAAAAGAATAAGAATGAAAAATAAAAAGGTTAAATGATGAATTAGTGGACCGCGAAACTAAAGTTGTGCCTAACCCTAACGAACAACAGTGGTTACTTCCCATTACAGAGTAGCAGAGAGGGTGGCAGGGGCCAAGTGAAATACTTAAACTAGGGAGATAGCAGATGGATTATACGGGGAAAGAGGGAGATTCGGATAAGAACTATGGAAGGAGGACTGTGTAACAATTAAGCAGATTCTGACCAACATTCCCAGCACAAGGTTTAACGGGGATGAGAGGGGAGGTTAAAGAGCTGAAGGGATGATAAAGCCAGTGTGGAGTGTGGATTGTTCTCATGAAAGCTTCTCAAAAGGGCACACCATAGCACACTTAAATAAGCAAGTAAACAATTGTGATAGTGAAGGCGTGATACAAAAGATATATGATTGTTGATTAGCCCAGTGCGGAAGTTTAGACATCACGATTGTTTAGCAGACAATTGGTCAAACGAATGACTTCACTTGTCTCTTTGACGAGTTGCAGTGTGGTACTAAGGATGGCAAGGCTCCTTCACGTTGTCGACTACGATACCGGCTAGACGTCTTTGAATGTACCAAATCTATGGTCCGACTCTGGAAATTATCATACATACTATGAACACCGGGCTAGATGCGTTCCTATAGATCCTCCTGCTAATACGACCAAGGTGCTAATACGACCAAGTACCATAACTATAGCAAATTTTCTTCAAATTTGTAATGACCTGTAGTGGTCTGGAAAGTTGGCTGCTGAATATAGGTGGTCGTCCCAGCAGAAACGGCAGTTAACTGCCCTGAATGCTGATGTTGTTGTTGCTGCTGCTGTCCAAGAATCTGCACCGCTCGTGGGCCCGATTGCTGTTGTCCCTGATGTTGTTGCATCTGCTGGTCACCTGAATGAGCAGCCTGACGAAATTGAACTCCTCGAACATTCTGCTGTTGCATCTGTTGAGTGTGCTGGACCATAGAGACTCCTGTCGCTGCCACCTGTTGATAGTGAAGGCAAGTTGCAGTCGTCGCTGTTCCGCCGCTGCTGCCCGGTGGTCTATGCTGAGCATTTAAGGGTGAAAGAATGTTACCGTTAGGCCCTAAAAGGTGTTGAGCACCTCCAGGGCCCGATGGATGTGGTGAAGCCTGTTGAACCTGCTGATAAATTTGCTGTTGCTGGACTTGTTGTTGCTGTTGTTGAACTGTTTGCTGAACTGGACCCGGCCGGATCGGGACGGCGGATGCGATTCCGGATTGGGCGGACTGCGAAGGACTAACGAATTGGCTACTCGATGAACTAGGCTGCAACTGACCAGATTGTCCAGGTGTCGCAATACCGGAGCTAGGGCGCAAAGGAATAAAGGCTGTGGAAAGAAAAATAAGGGTCATTGATAAAAAGGCAAGAAAATATGAGTCGTAAGGTGTCAGGGATCATGTGCACCTGATGATTCAATAATATTGATGGTGCTTTTAATCGCCTTTATAACCAAATAAAGGTGTGTGTACAAGGAGGAACTAAAACACAATTTAATACAGATTCTGTGGCTTAAATTGAGATGGTATCATATCAGGATTTCTCATTAGCTATTAGCAACCTAAATACGAATAGTGGTAAATTTCAGAGGGTTTTCGATTAAAATTTAAAGGATGGATTAGATGTTGAGACATAAAAACAAAGTCATTTCATTAGATAAAACGCTAGTAGACTGATAGAAGAGATTGTCATAGATTATAAATATAAATAAAATAAAAGTATATGCATATAGATATATATAAAATTAGTATATATTGAAGGAACGATGACCTTAAAAAAATACTGACCTGGATGATGCTGTGCTGGAGAAATGGAGCCAGAGCCCTGCATACTTGAAATCGTCTGCCCAATAGACTGAGAAATGTTATTGCAAATCGAGGCCGATCCAGCTGGAGCTAGTTGTCGGGGGTTCGAAGGACCCGGTGCAACGGGTAGGTTGGTTGCACCCCCACTTGCAGAGACAATAGGGCTTGCTTGATGACCAGTAAGCTGTTTTTGCGAAACTGTTGTTTGCGGAAGTGGCTGTCCAGTTTGAAGATGAGAGGAAGTTGCCGCGTTGGGATGTGGAGCCAATTGGAGAACGGAGGGACGAACCAATATGGCAGGAGAAGCTATCTGGCAAGTAGAACGAGTGCCATTAACTATGTGCTAAGTAATGAAGCATAAAAACAAGCAAAAATCAATTAACGCATAGATTGTCGGTCCTAAGAAGAGAACAAGGCAAACAAAATTAACATATTGAATCGCCTCAACAACATACGTAATTATTAAATATAGTAGATATGAAGACCAAGTTGGTCGTAGATTTAAAAAATGGAATGATAAATATTGAAGAGAAAAATCGAATGACGAATATAATAAAGATGTTACAATGTGTTCCAATGAAACAACAAAATTTATTCGAAGGTATAAAGACCAAGATGGTGTGGCCTTTTGTGTGGTCGCAGTCTCCTTTCGTTGAATA